CTGTCTGTCTGTTTGTTTGTTTGTCTGTCTGTCTGTTTGTATCCAATAAACGTCAAAACGGCTGAACCGATTGGGCCCAAATTTTTTGTGGGACATCTAGGGACCCCAGGGAAGGTTTATGAAAAATCAAAATTTCAAATATTTGTCTCCATCAAAATTCGATCGTCATTAAATTTTTAAAAATTTTGAAAATCCGCGAATTATTTTTGCTTTGTTTTACGATGTACACAAAGAGAACATGTTCACAACTAATTTAGAAGATGGGCGCTTCCTAAGGCTAGAAAGAAGGGCGCGAAGCGCCTTGAATTTCTAGTATCTTATATGGGACAAATAGATATACACTTTTCACAAAGTTAATTAAATGTTAAAATGTAGAAATACGAGACTTCATACATTTAAATCTATATGAAAAAGTTCAGTGTGATTCGTTGAGAGTTTGGGGTTACCTCGAATAAATTATAGATTTCAAATTTCAAAATTTCCTTTTTTGTCTCGGCTGCATTAATCCTTGATCCGACAAAGGTGTAACGGGTACCGTTGACAATTCGACATGCACTCTACAAATGCTACACTGAAAGTTACCGTGCAGCCTCTTTAACTCAAAAAAAGTATGTTTATATTGAGAGTGGAGTGGAGAAATGAAATTAAAAAATAAACATATGATCTTTATGCATTTATGTTTCAGTATAACTATAATTCCTGTCTAAATAAAAACGTATCGTATCGTTTTTATGCGCAGCAAAAATTTTCTTAGGAAACAGATTTTAGTCGCAACGCCGCTGCCGTACAAAATTTTCGCAAACATACAGAGCAAAGCAGCAAAATTGTGCGCAAAAATTCATGCAAACCTCAAACATTAACTTTGAATATAAATATCAAAAATGTACTTATATTTTACTAGCTTAGGAACCCAGCTTTGCCTGTTACCAAATCAACATTTAAGGCAAATCGGTCAATGAGTTTCTGAGTTATGATCGAATATACAAACAAACAAACAAACAAAGGCATCCCATGAGGGAATTACTTGGGGGCCCTATAAAACAGCTTAGACCTTTTAAAACTTAATTTTATCACATTTTTTTAATTTCAAAGTTAAATTATTTTTCTTTTTTATATAGGTTAATAAACTATTGTNATTTAATGTGTATTTCCGGGGAGGGGACTGGGAAAGCCGGATGTTAAAATTTATCGCAGTTTGAATTAGATGTTGATAGTCAATCAATTTAGATACAGTGTATACCAAATCACGTTTAAATGTATATTGTTTAGATCAGATCAACATAACGATTAACGAATGTGATTGATTTTGATTTTGAATTTATTTCTAAACATTTGGGGAAATAATTCACCATATATTTTGTCCCAGTTTTCCTCTGAATACTTTCGCTACAGCAATCTCTATTCTCTATTTGGATTAGTGGACACATTTTTATTTCATTTCTACTTTTAATCTAAAAAAGTTTTTATATTTTTGTTTAAACAAATATTAAATTTGTTATTTATATCCTAGTTTTCAAGTCTCATACATTTAGATTAATACCGGGAAAAGAAATTAAGGAAGATGAGAATGGAGGAAGATTAGGAAGGTGGGTGGGAATGGAAGAAAAGTTAGGAAGGTGGATGGGAATAAGAGGAAAGGAAAAGGAGGATGAGAATGGAAGAAAAGGAAGGAATGTGGATGGGAATGGGAGAAAAGTTAGGAAGGTGGATGGGAATGGGAGAAAAGTTAGGAAGGTGGATGGGAATAAGAGGAAAGGAAAAGGAGGATGAGAATGGAAGAAAAGTTAGGAAGGTTTATGGGAATGGAAGAAAAGTTAAGAAGGTGGGTGGGAATGGGAGAAAAGGAAGAAGGGAGGATGGGAGTCGTAGAAAAGGAAGGAAGGATGATGGGAATGGAAGAAAAGGAAGGAAGGATGATGGGAATGGAAGAAAAGGAAGAAGGAAGGATGGGAATCGAAGAAAAGGAAGGAAGGATGATGGGAATGGAAGAAAAGGAAGGAAGATGGATGGGAATGGAAGAAATGTTAGGAAGATGGATGGGAATGGAAGAAAAGGAAGGAAGGTGGGTAGGAATGGAAGAAAAGGTAGGAAGGTGGATAGGAATGGAAGAAAAGGTAGGAAGGGTGGTGTGAATGGAAGAAAAGGAAGGAATTGTGGTGTGAATGGAAGAAAAGGGAAGATGGAAGAAATGGGAAGGCAACGGAAGAAAAGGGAGGAAGGGGATGGAAGAAACGGGAGAAAAGTTTGTGAATGTAAGAGAAAAGCACCTGCTATGTTCATCGGGATAGAGCGGAGGGNGGGGCATAATATGTCTACATATGTACATAAAAAGGGCGAGTTATAGATTATATTTAGAATAGACCTACTTCTATGAATTGGAATGATCTAATATTATTACTGCTCTGACATGTGGAAGCGCCTAACAGTTGGATTATAAAAAGCGCACGACGCACGTTGACGTTGTATCTAGGTTAGGCGCACGATCATGATGTGTGCACCTTAACCTGTGAACTTATAGATTAGGCGCGCATATGTTCGGTAATCTATAAGAAATAAATTTTTTTCGTTCTAATTCTTTTATTTTTCCTTTTCGATTCCTGGCCCTCCTCATCCTATTTTTCCTTTTCAATTCCTGGCCCTCCTCATCCTATTTTTCCTTTTCAATTCCTGGCCCTCCTCATCCTATTTTTCCTTTTCAATTCCTGGCACTCCTCATCCTATTTTTCCTTTTCGATTCCTGGCACTCCTCATCCTATTTTTCCTTTTTAATTCCTGGCACTCCTCATTCTATTTTTCCTTTTCAATTCCTGGCACTCCTCATCCTACTTTTTCGTCTCAGAAAAAAAAACTTCAGAGGTTAAAAGAAAAGGGTTTTGCAATTTGGTTTAAAGAAAAAAATCTACAATTTAGGGTTAAACATTTGTAATTTTACTTTTTAGAAAAAAGTTTGCAAGAATGATTTTTAATAACGTGATTTTTTTAAAAGACGAAATCTAAATATGTGAGGCAATATACCATCTTTGCACGGAGGGTCACTTGAAATTGCGCCTACATTCCCTTTAAGCGAGTTTTTCAACCGAAATTATATTTCAAAAATTATCCTACATCGGAATATTTTAAATTTTTCTCTAGCAAATACAGGACTAACAATAGGTGAACTAGTGTTGATTAATATCTATTTACATCTGAAGATATGATCATATACGTAGTACCCCTAGTATCTATAGGATTGGGCGTCGTTCTTGGGAGACGATCGTTTGTTCACGGGAACGAACCAGGGAGTAAGGAATAGAAGGGAGATATAACTGACACGGTTCGCCCTACCATATGATTATACATGCTTTGCAGACGGTTGTACTTCATTTGTATAAGAAATATTCAGAAAAGGTTATTGTATTCAAATGGAGTACCCGTCTGCAAAGCATGTATAATCATATATGGTAGGGCGAACCGCGTCAGTTATATCTCCCTTCTATTCCTTACTACCTGGAACGAACGGTTACGAGCTTTACTTGTATTTTATCACGCCCAGCTCTACTTGTATTTTATCACGTCCAGCTCTACTTGTATTTTATCACGTCCAGCTCTACTTGTATTTTATCACGCCCAGCTCTACTTGTATTTTATCACCAGCTCTACTTGTATTTTATCACGTCCAGCTCTACTTGTATTTTATTCTAATCTCTACGGATTATTTCACCACTTTATAAGTTTGGTCCCATAGCAACTAAATGTCATATTGTTGAAAGGTTGAGAATATTTTCGCTTCCACATTGTTTGAAATATTTATCATTTTCTGCAAAAGCAAAATATTTTAATTTTCTCTGACAGAATTTTCTGTCTTTTATTCAGGGACATGCGATCTAAATAAAATCTCCTGTGATAACCCTCAATCAATGCTTTAACCAACAAGGTTTGGAACCTAGCATTGCATTTCTTCATGGTTTCTCTCCTGAAGTGATTTGCGCATTTCTGCTTCAGATACCATGGAGCAGGAGAACATAATCAGAATTATACATTTTTTAAGCTAGAAATATGAAGATATCTGCCACATCACTGATAGTTCTAATAAGTACCGTGGTATATTGAGGTTATCTTTGAATATGACCACAGTGAAATTTGTTGTGTTCTGTCGAAATGATTTGACTTAAGAAGAAATAATTCAGACAACAGTTATCAGCTGCACTGCAGGGAACTTTAGAAGTTTAGAGTTTAAGAAACAAGACTGATAAGCCTTCAAATATGCTTGAAACTAAAAAATATTTATCCTATCTTAAGGTCGATCTTACAAATTAAGTATTACTGATGGCAGAGTACTAGGTGCTCTCTGGTATAGTTTTATCATAGTTTATCACAAATAGATTATCAAGTACTTAAAAATCTATTTGGTTTATCATATTCTATAGTCAGTTTAAAACAAAGAGTTTATAGTGTATAGAGTGATAATGTACGCTAATCCTTTACTAATTGCAAGGAGATATTGAATAGAAGGAGGGGGCGATAGGGTTTCCGTACACTTTTCTGTGACGTTTTTG